CAAGCCAATCTTACCCACTGAGATTTGTTCCGCGTGTGTTTTAAAACTGTGAGTCAACTGTATAAAATCCTGGCTTTCTGCTGGTAATAGGGAACCCAAGGTAAAGAAGGGAGAGCGCTGACATGTTGTAGGGTTGTTAACCAATGTCATAAAACAGTATGTGTACTAACTGTTTCATGAGAAGCTAGCTTGTTCTGTAAACCTTCATCTAAAGTACAATAAAAAAAAAAAGAAAGAAAGAAATACTTAAAATTCTGGCTTTCTGCCTTACCACATGATAACTAAAAATTTGTGTTAAGTGATTAAGTGAACTTGGTCATGATAAATGTACATAATTAACATTCATGCTAGTGATCCTTGTGACTAAAGGCAGTCTTAACTTTTCCAGATATACAAAAAATATCTCTAAGTCACATGTCAGAATGTAGTTAAAAAGCTGCCTGGGCCAACCACACATAGAACATGAAGTTTCCCTGATATGTGCCTCCTGAAAGAGAATCCTTTCACAATAATAATGTCATCTTATTTCCTTACAATTTCACTACATCCATAATCAGATGAACAGGTGAGAGGGCCCTGAAGATGGATCTTGCCCACAAAGGATCCAGGGTAACATCACTTGGAACTCATTAACTAGTAAAAAAACAACCTCATCCATCATAGATTAGACATGTTTTTTTTCCTGGCTTCCCTGCACATATCCTTGCACATAAGCACTAGGTATATAAACACTCACCCCTCATTCTTGTGTGTAAACCTCTACCCAGGTGACACTGCACATCCCAAGAATCTTGGCGTTGACCTTCTGTCCACCATGAAACTACATTTAACCTTCATGTAAGTAAGCTCCCTAATAAAGCCTTGTCTGATAAATATGGCTTTCACTGTCTCTGTGCTCTCAGAGCCACTCCTGCTGCTGGTCTGATGGGGTATGACAAAAGAGATCACGTCTAGCACACTCTGGTAGCTCTACAATACTAAAGTACAAAAGCCCATAAACCATCCATGATATCAGGTCCTAGTATGCAGATCCATCTCATATTAAAAACCTCTGTGCCAATCTGGGATCTTGCACAAATGGAATCCCAAAGATGTGAAAGCCCGTAACTGGGAAGCAGTCAAGATAGCCACAGAGCAATGGTGGAGGAAAGAGCTAGGAAAAAAAAAGCCAGAACACCCACAGAAGGCCTGAAAAATACCAGAGAGATGGGCAAGCAAAAAACCTGGTACCTGAAGGAAGACCAAAGAACCACTGGAAAAGCCCACGTCTGATCAGAAGAGTCTGGAATCAGCATAAATCTATTTTAAAGCCTGCAGAAGTAATACCAGTCAAAGATGTAATTCCATCAGACCTCACAAATACAACAGGAAGAGAATCAGTCAAATTGGAAATGCTTACTATCAGATGTAAGGGCTCTGGAACATTTCACAACAAAAAGAAAAGTTACTCAAGCAATCTCCAGTCTAGTACTATTTAAAACAAACTATAATAGCTTTAGACAGAAGTTGAAATAAAGTCTCTTATTTAAAGTACCACTTCAGGACCATGAAACTACATTTAACCTTCCCATAAATAACTACTGCTTTCGTGAGTGGCTCCTAAATACTAGTCCACTGACTTCTTCTGCCAATCCAAGATGACATGTTTAATATTTTGCAGCAAAATTAAAAAACCTATTAATATTGTGAGCTAACTGTATTCTATCTAATGAACAGATTTTAATTTTGAAATCAAGCCCTTTTTCCTATTTTACTATTAAAATCCTTTTGTTTTCTTCAAGGTAAAATTAAGCTGTAACAGTCATTTATGTTTTTTAATGTTCTTATTTGGCCAAAAAAAAATTTTTTTTTTAATTTTCTGATTCTTAAAATCCAAAAGCTTGGAAACTATGGCCATATCCGCTGCTGTCAAGTCGATTCTGACTTATAGCAACCCTATAAGCCCTATGGCCACAGAGTACCCTATATAACAAGAGATGAGGTATTCCTGACCAACAGAGATGAAGAAATTTTTTTCATACTCTTCCAAGAATTTCCTACTTCATATCATGAGGCAGTTAAATTATATGAACTTCAAGGTACCTTCCACTTACAATATTCTATGACTCTCATCCTGTAAAAGTAACATCATGTGTATAATTTAGACCCATAATATGTTAGATTAAACATTCTTTAAGGTCTGCAGTCAGCTATTGAATAACATTACTCTTTTGCTATTATTCATAGTACCCAACAAAATGCTAACCATAAACAGTTACATTCTAGGAATTGTTTAACACATAAAACACAGTGAACTTTGGTTTCCTAAGACAGGGTATATTCCTTTTCTGTCCATGTTTCTCCTACCTCCCTCAAATTATTACACAAGACACTGACTTAATCCTTGGATTAAGTAGCACAATAAACATTATCTGTTTCCAAGACCTCAAACGGCTTTTCTAGAATGATGTTGGTACTGTCTCTCACAATAATAATAACAACAACAACACCAGAATATTGAAATCAATGGCATTTTAATACGAGTATCATTAGTGCAACAGAGTCAGTTTTTCCACTTCGGGCTAAGTGCAAAATGCTTATTTCTAGACAATAAAAGATGAGGAAGGACAGGGATTCTTCCCATAGCATTTTTTCTCCTTCTTCGAGTTATAATTCATAAAAATTATACATAAAAAAGAAATTCTTAATGGCTTTTCCCAAGGATAATTTAATAGGCAATACTATGTATATGAGCAGTCAACAAAGTACAAACCAGCTGGTGCTCACTAAAGCATTTGCCAGGAGATGGAAAGCAAATTGGACAACCTGTACTTCTTCAACGAAAGCATGAGAAGGGTCCTATGATTTTGTATGCTACCGATTTTGATGAAGATACCAAAATTCAGGTCGAAAAATTACGGGTTGAAGCCATGGAATAGGACATTCGGAAGAGGTGCAGTGAGCCCTTTCAAGACCCTGATGCATGAGATGGATTATTACTAGGACTGAGGAGAGCAAGACACATTTGAAGCAGTGGGGCACTGCTGTTTCTGGCTCTGTGCAAAACTCGACAGGCAAAAGATTTGGTTGCTATGGAACACATATGCTGCCTTTGTTTCCTAAGAGGGAAATTAAGTTTCTAGCAGTGCTTCAACCCATAATTTTTCCTGTTCCAGTTATAGATCTGGCTCACCCAAATTTTAAAAATTCGTGTCTGTTCCGGTGTCACTTCCTCCACCATGACTAAACCAGGAAGAACCACTTTGAAGCCTTTGTTATTTTAATACCAAGAAGGAAACAAAGTCAGACAAGATAAAATCTACATTCTCAAGGTGCACGTGACACTAAACAACATCTCCAAGCATCCACCACATGAGTATGCAGGCTTTCTCCATCTCTATTTGATTTACGTAGTCACTTCTGTATTTGCTATCTCTTAACTACTCTTCTACTTGTTCTATTATTTCAATTTTTTTCCATTTGCACACTCAGTGGTTCCTCACACTGTCTGCCTGTTTATGCCCGTCGAACTTGAGCCTCTTAATTCAAAGTTATCTTGGTCGCAATCATATTCCCTGTCATTCTGCACTATTTCTTCAAGTGCCTCCCACTGTTTGTCACTTTATTAAAAAATTGGGGGGTAGGGGAGCCCTTGTTCTTTTTTGAAGTTACTTTAAATTAGACAAAAATTGGCATTTTGCTTTATTAAATAATAATGTTTCTTAAATTATCTACCTCTATTTTTCATTACCCATTTCCTTTTTATACTACTGCTATCATGTAAAGAAAATCCCCTTTGAATTCACTAAACAATGTGTTAAAGTAAAGAAATAACAAATATACTGCATTAACATATATAAAACATTTTAAAAGTTCATGATTAAAAACATTTGAACAGTTCATGTTAACAACATATATTGTGATATTCTTATTTAAAATTTAGGTTGGCTCTTTATTTCCATTTTGCATGTTAAGAATACTTCTAAACGGTTGTGAAGTGATGGTGAAAAGCTAATAAATATCTACAGAACAGAATTATTTCCCAGTTTTCCTTGAAGCTAGGAGTTCTGGAGTTAAGAAGTGGTCTAACTAAAAGAACAATAGCCATCTTGAGATCATTAGGGAAAGGACTCATATTCTTAGGATGTCAAAGCTACAAAGATCCTCGATCACTAACGACACCAGAGAAACATTTTACTAGCCCTGGATGGCCTGCCCACAGCCTTCTAATTACATGATTTGTTTACGCCCCTATAACTTCCTTACTGATAGGAAAGGTCACTAAAAACCTGAGACCTAATTCATTATTACCCTTTGAGAATAATATTCTCATTTAACAGATGGAGAAATAGAAACAACATTTGACTTTATGAGTAAAGTCATTTGCACTTTGTTATCTTTGTCCACAGCACCCTTGTTGTCACAAATGCAGCCAGCATACAGCATTAAGAGCATGCGTGCTTAGGTTTGAATCCAGAGCTTCATTGTGTAAAGCCAATGCCTCAGTTTCTTAATATGTAAAATAATGGTACTTATTTTATAGGATTGCTGAAAGGAATATAAAAGAGAAAGTTTATGCAATGCCTTTAGAACAGTGCCAGGCACATGCTACAGCATCAATAAATGTTAGTTATCCTTTTCGTTTGTTTGCTTTTATTATTATTACCACCAAACAGTAACTTCTATTCTACTGTAAAAAGGCATAATAAAAGTGATTGTATTAGAAACATGTAACATTTTTCTTAATGATGCTAATCTTCTATTTCAAGAATACATTCTAATCTATTGCTGGCTTTCTTTTGCCCCTGCTATCATCCTGCGTATGAGAAAATAGTAATAAGAGAAATAATAAGGTGAGTGCCTGAGTCATGGAAAACCCTAAATAAGTTTTACTTCCTTTCCCTTCTCTCTTATGAGAGCATAATGTTATGGTTACAAAGATGTCAAAGTTCCCTCTGAAATGATAATACAAATAGTTGATTTATAATCACGGTTCAAAGACTTTTTAAAAATATCCTTACCCAGAAGATCCAATGCTCTTACAAACACCAAGGAGGGGTCTTTTTTCAGCAAAGTTGTCACACTTTTGAGTACCTGATAGGAGCATAAAATAAAATGTAAACTACGAGAAGTATTCTTCTATACCTCCCATTATCTTCATACTCTAAAAATACTTACAGCTGAAGATATAGCAAAATATTCACTATAAATTGATATAATTTATATACTTGCCTGAAGAAAAAGTATAAAACCTACATAAACCTATAACCATTAAAGAAATTGTACCAATAAGAGCCATCACATGAACAGACATATGCATGCACATGTTCACTGCACAATTATTCACAATAGCAAAAAGATGGAAACAACCTAAGTGAGCACCAACAGATGAATGGATAAACAAACTACGGTACATACACACAATGGAATACTATGCAACGATATAGAAAAAGGATGAATTTGTGAAACATCTCACAACATGGATGAGTCTGGAGGGCATTATGCTGAATAGGTCAATCACAAAAGGACAAATACTGTATGAAACCACTATTATAAGAACACATGAAAATGTTTGCACACAGAAAACAACTACCTTTGATGGTTACGAAGGAGGGGAGGGGTGGGAAGGGAAAAACACTAACTAGATAGTACATAAGTGGTAACTCTGGTGAAGGGTAAGACAGTACACAATGCTGGGGAAGTCAGCACAACTTGACCAGGGCAAAGTCATAGAAGTTTCACGGACACATCCAAACACCCTGAGAAACTGAGCTACTGGACTGAGGGCTGGAAACCATTGTCTCAGGTGACATCTAGTTCAACTGACATAACATAGTCTATAAAGAAAATGTTCTACATCAGATTGTGGTCAATAGCAACTGGGTTCTTAAAGCCTGCGAGCGGCCATATACTGGTCTCATCATGGCTGGAGCAAAGGAGAATGAAGAAGACCAAAGAAAGAAGGGAAAGATTAGTCTGAAGGACTAATGGACCACAACTACCACAGCCTCCACCAGGCTTGGTCCAGCACAACTAGATGGTGCCCGGTTACCACCACCGACTGCTCTGGCAGGGATCACAATGGAGGGTCCTGAACAGAGCGGGAAAAAAATGTAGAACAAAATTCAAATTCACTATATATACCAGGCTTGCTGTTCTGACACCCTTTTCTCTCAGTACTGACGTCACTTCTGAGCTTCAGCCAAAGATGAGACAGGTCTATAGGACCAACAATAATACACGTGAGGGACATGCTTCATAGTTCAATCAGGTATACGAGACTAACGGGCACACTAGCTCAAAAGCAAAGATGAGAAGGAAGGACGGGACAGGAAAACTGGACGAAAGGAAACAGGGAACCTGGGGTGGAAAAGGGCAGAGTATTGATATATTGCGGGGTTGGCAACCAATGTCACTGAACAATTTGTGTATAAATCTTTGAATGAGAAATAAATCTGCGCTGTAAACTTTCACCTAAATCACAATAAAATCTTTTGGTTATTGTTGTTGGTAGGAAAATACTTGCAGACCACATATTTGACAAGGGATTCATACCTAGACTATATGAAGTACTCTCAAAACTTAACAGCAAAAAGCAAACAATCTAATTAGAAACTGGGCAAAAGAAATGAAGAGACATTTTATTGAAAAGAATATATGGATGGCAAATAAGCACTAAAAACCTATTAGAATAGATAAACAAGTACTTGTGACATTACCAAATGTTACAAAAATACAGAAAAATGAGATCTTTCATACATTGCTGTCGGAAACGTAAAACGGTACCATAACTTAGGAAAATAGTATGTCGGTTTCTTTAAAAATTAAATATGCATTTACCATACAACCCAGAAATCACATTTCTGGGCATTTATCCCAGAGAAATAAAAATGTGTGTCCATATAAACCCATACACAAATGTTCATAGCAAGCTTATTTAATAGTCAAATGGCCTTTTTAATAGTCAGATGTCCTTCGATAGATGGTTAGACAAACTGTGGTACATTCCCTAGCATGGAATACTACTCAGCGCTATAAAGGAACTATTTATACACGAAACAACTTGGATGGATTTCAAGGGCATTATGCTAAGTGAAAACGCCAATTTCAAAAGGTCATATATTGTGTAATTCCATTTATATACCAATCTGGAAATGGCAAAATTATTATAAACATGGAGAACAGATTAATGGCTGCCAAGAGTGAAGGATGGTGGAGGGAAGGGTAGTATGATTATAAATCGGTAGCATGAAAAAGATCTTTGTGGTGATGGAGTAGTTCTCTATCTTAATTGCAGTGGTGGTTACACAAATCTACACGTGATAAAAGGGTACAGAACTATACACACACAATGTACCAATGTCAATTTCCTGTTGTTGTATACTTATATAAGATGTAACCATTAGGGGAAGCTGGGTAAACGGGTGTGACTCTGTGTGACTCTCTATCATTATTAAAAAAAACAAAAAAAACACTTGCTAGAATTGATCTGTTAGTGTTTTCCTGTAATATTAAACAAGTTCGTTTTTGCTCTTATAAAAGGTTATCTTCGATCATCTTAAAATTACTGTCACCAGCTACAACTACTGAATGTTCTGATCTGGAACATAATATAGAATCCTGATAAAAAGGGAGAAAAATGTAGAACAGAACTTCAAATTCTTAAAGAATCCAGACTTACTGGATCTATTGAGTCTGAAGCAGTCCCCAAGATTATGGCCTTGAGATGCTCTTCAAATCTTGAATTGAAACTATTCCCTGAAGTCACCTTTAAACTAAGTAACAGTTCAGCCCAAAGAGAAAAGACTGTCATCCTTGAATACTGCATTGACCAAAGGGTTAACAGCTATTTTAAAGCATCGATGGGAAAGTTGGAGGCAGGGAGATTAAGGAAATGGAAATGAAACAACTAGAACAGAAATAACAAGAATATTGACACAACGTAAATAAAGAATTTAACCAATGACACCGAGCATGATGTCTAGAAACCACTGAATGGAAGTGGATTTTGTTGGAAAAAAATTAGCTGCCCATGTTTAAAACATATATATGTATATATATGAGCTATATATGTATGTATATTCAGTATATGAAATTTATTAAATGCATAAATATATAAGAATAATAAACACTAATTTCAGGACAGGGGTTTACTTCGTAGGGGACTAGGAAGGAGATATGATTTGAGAGAGGTGGCCAACGGGTTTCATCACTCTTAACAATATTTTGTTTCTTAGACTGAAGGGTAGGTAAAACAATGTATAACATTAATAATCCATATCAACGAATCCTTCCAAAAATAATAAGGTTTAATCTACAGGAGGACAGGTAAATGATTACACACATTTAGACTGTGACCTGCCATAATATAATACCTTTAAACTGTGATTATAATAAGACTGAAAATTAAGTTAAGACAAGTTCTAACATGCCTTTACACCAGACCATCCTATCAACATCAGAATATGATAAAGTTCAAAACTAAAAACATAACCAATGTTTATGTATGCAATTCTTTATAATTATTTAAATTTGTAGAAGCTTATAACATTCAATCTTTTAATAAGACGTCTACAAGATTTTTAAACAAATCTACGACTACATGCTGAGAAAGAATCAAGAATATTTTTATTCAAACATTAATTTACTATGGATTGTGTGTTGTTATACTGCTAACAAATTAATCAGATTTCACAATTAACAATATGACTTTTGATCCAAGTACAAGTTAAAAATTAACTGGTCCAAAGCTCACAATACTTATGTTCCAAATTAATTACAACTGAACTTCATCTAAACACAGCCATTTCTTCACTCCTCCATATTTTACCCAGTATAATGTGAAAATGTCTCACATCAATAACTTCACCTTCAACAATACCTATTTTCCTTCTCCTTCCTGGTCTTTACAAGGTCTTTGCAGTTTGTACCTGAATTATAAATACCAATTTGATATTTTGATGAATGGAACATCATGTCTTTAAAACACAAATAATACTGGTAAAAATAGTTTGATTGTTTTGCTTTTTTCAAACGTGACTTGAAGGACTCCATTTCTTTCCACTGACCTATGGGGGTATATCAGTCCAGTAGACTTTGCTCCACAGAAGGTCAACCAGCTGACACCAATGATTTATATTGTTCAGGGATATTCAGAGAAGATAAGCCAAGCCAAAATTTTAAACTACAAAATAAAAGCCCTAAAATGAGAGCGGCATAACCGCCAAAGTACCTACTATCCACAAAAAGAAAAACCAAACAAGCAAAAAAGACTAGAGATTACAATAAACAAATATTAACAAAACCTCCATATTTATTTCAGGCATGTCTTAAAGTAAAAAAACATTTTAACTTCAGATTTGGAAAACTATGCAATAAAACATTAACTCTGTGTTAAATAATTATATTGTCTGAATAAATATAATTTCTAAAGTGTTAGTATAAAAATTCTACAATCTCATGACCAATGTAGCTATTAACCTGATTTCTCATCCCATATAAGTAGCAGCATGTACTCTCCATGATGCCTAATGGAGTCATCACCCTCCCATAACATAATCCTCCAAATTGTAGAGGATTAACTTTTTATATATAAAATTGTGTATTTATTTGCATGAAGAATACGAAGAATGACGTTACACACACCTGTTCTACAGCATTTAACAGAATGTAGCACAGTGATTGAAATGAAAAGCAGCTAGCCAAATCCATCAAATATAAAAACTATTGCAATCCTGTTGCAAAGTCCTTTTGTTAAACTCCTTTTTTTCTAAATCCTTTTAATTCTGTCCTATAACACTAAAACATTTATAAAAAGCTTAAAATCCTAATAAATCACACAATTAAAGTAATGAAAATGGGCTGGCCCACCAACTCACTGACTTCTCTCCCACTCAAAATTCAAAACAGTTTGCATGTTAGAAAATGTTAAATAATATCCCCACTATGCACACCTTTTGTAAACTCATTTAAACCAAAGAATTTAAGCTCATAAGTCAACCTTAAACATTTTCAAGACCGCAAACAGAAACCACTTATGCCTGAGTCCAAAACCAGATCTACAGGCAAATAAAAATCCAATTGATAATGCAATA